CTACTACTACTACTACTACTACTACTACTACTACTACTATTTCTTCTACTTCTTCTACTACTTCTTCTCCTCTTCCTCTTCCTGTTATTGTTATTGTTATTATTTTGCCATCCCTTGCAAGACCTGGCTGGAGGTGATGGTTTTGGTCCATTAATTCAGTGGTTGAAGGAAAGCAACATTTGTTTTTGGGGAGATGAAGGCCCATTGATGTGTTCTGCATAGGAGGACCCTATTTTGGAGAGGACTTAGTGCATTCTTAACCCTCCAGACTACAGGTCCCCAGAATCCCATGGGGTGCTCACCACGTTCAAAGGACATCTATTGCTCCTACTTGAGTCTCATTGGCAAGAATTCTCCATTCTCCAAGTATGTTTCTCCTCATGAGTGACTCAGCTGGGAGGTCACAAGGCTGGTGATGTCAGTTCAGTTCACTTGGGGAAGCCATGGCTTAGTGCCAGAGCAAAGTTGGGTGGTTTTTTTTACCCTTGTTCTTCCCCAATTCTCTTTCGTTGGGTTTTTAAGCAGAAACCGTAAGCCGAGAAGTTCCTTCTCGGTTGCAAAATGAAACACCCATCATTTCAGTGTGCATAAGTGCATCAGAATAGAGCTGGAAAGTGTGAAAGTGCATTTTATTTTCATTTGTTCTTCACAACAGGGCGGTGCCCAAGATAGCCCAATTTGAAAATGAGGCACCTTTCTTATTTTGTGCCTCATGAGATTTTTTTACTCAAGGGTAAAATTTCTTGGGGACATTAGATCGTCAGTTGCGATTCCCGATGCTTCTGATTCTGTCTTGGGAATAACTGCAAGATCTCAAAAGTTAAAAGATAATTTTCGAGGGAGGGAAGAGCGATTCCAAGCAAACTCTAAGCACATTTTTATCTTTGGAAAACAAAAGTTTGCAAGTATATACCGCTTGCACCTTGCTCCTAGAAGCGTGCAGTGAGCTTGGTGGCAAAGTTGATTTTCCAGATAATTTATTTTTGGGGGAAGGCTTTTTCCTCCATTGAGGTAATTGGTGACACCGGTGTCTTCGGGATACCTCTTGTTTCATACCTTTGATGGTTACAGACAAGCAGTTGGAGAATAGCAGAGAAATTTAACGGAGGCTAAACGCTAAGTTACACACTTGGGGAACGGCAGTCGAGCGGAGAAATCTGGGTCTTGGCAACGAAGCTTCTGGAAAAAAAACCACACAAAAAGAATAGCAGGAGATTATAAATGAGTCAGCAGCCTGACATGGGTTACTAAAAACAGGAATGCAAATTGAAGCTGCCTCAACCGGGGTATTGTTTTTACATGACGGGGAGTCATCCTTCCTCTTTATTCGGCTTTGATCAACGTTTGAGAGGTGCCAACTAGTGGAGGTTGTAAAGTTGGCAACCGGGTGCTAGAAATTAAGCCCTGTCAAGAGGAATGGAAGGTGCTTCCTCAGGAGAAGGCTTGGTAGGGTTGATAGCACCCTTCAAGTGCTAGAAAAATGCCCCCTTGAAGGTTAGGAGAAACATCTAAAGAGCTTCAGCGGTTGGGCAGTGGACTCGGTGACTCAGAAAGAGGTGAATTCCCTTCATTGGGTTGGGGAGAGGACAGGCTGGAGACCCGTCTATCAAGATTGCTTAATTTGGGTCTTCCATCGCCTGGACCTTCTCTTCCAGCTCTTCAAGGGTTCTCCTTAGCTTCTGTCTGAGGTTCTTGAGTTCTTCGATGCTTCTCAGATTCCTGTCATTGACGCAGCCTCTTCTCCCTTCTGCTTTGACAGCAATTGAATCATCCCAACATAATCAAGTATTTGGATTCGTTTATTGAAGACAATGAACTGAACATTGTCCTGGAGCTGGCAGATGCTGGTGACCTTTCTCAGATGATTAAGGTGAGATCGGCTGGTTTGGGATTCGCTCCCCT